ACGGTGCACCACAGTGGCCCAACTGAGCTCACATGGTCCCCTTGTTTTTCTCCCAGGGGACTGTCCTAATGTCCTGGTCCGGCAAAGAACAATGGCTGTCCGCCTGCTGGCTGTGCTTGAAGACCTGGACCGTGCCCACGAGGAGTTCCAGCAGCGGGAGCGGGACCAGGCTGCCTCTAGGCCCCTTGGCCCCTGAAATGCAGAAGCCCAGCCTGGAAGGGGAAGCCAGGAGCTGTGGAGCCGTGCCCAGCACACCCTGGCCCAGCTGTCCTGTCCTGTATCACAAGGATGTGGTGTGCCTCAGAACCTCCCGGAGATGTGCCTAGTTTCAGAGCCAGGAACCAGGGCCACAAAAGCCCTCAGTGGGCACGGCCTTGCACTGAATGAGCTGGCCCTCCATCAGGAGGCAATGGAAGTAGGAGTAAGGAACTTGTATCATTTGACTAAGTCTGAGGCTGCTGCTTCGACCGCTGGCCTCTAACTGTGGCCCAAGGCCCACCTGGCTCTGAGCTGCAGGATGAAGCTGTACCTGCATTCCTTGTGCCTATGTAGTCACGCTTCCCCAGACAGACACTAAAAGAACTCAACCCTTCCTAGCTTCGTGCCTGCCTGTCCTTGTAACACCCCACCCCCCAAACTCTGCTCATGAGCCAGGACCCCCCAGTTATAAGTTTTCAGAGTCAAGTACCCTCAGGGAAAAACTGAGGCCAGGTGTCCAGTCTGCCGGATTCAGACCCTTGGAACCTGGGGCATCATGGGTCAGACTCTTTCCATTCTCGCTGAGATTCACTTTACCCTCGAGGAACCTCTAGCTCAGCGGTTCTCAACCTGTGGGTCTCGACCCCTTTGAGGGTCGAGCGACCCTTTCATAGGGGTCACCCGATTCATAACAGTAGCAAAATGACAGTGATGAAGTAGCAGCAAGAATAATTTTATGGTTGGGGGGTCACCACCACATGAGGAACTGTCTGAAAGCGTCACAGCATTAGGAAGGTTCAGAACCACCGCTCTGTACTTTTGTGCTTATCAAAATAGATTCCCTTGAGTCTCAGGGGCCAGAGAGGAATTTCTGGCATTCCCTAGGGGGTAACTGCTGACCATGCAGATTCCTGGGCCCCACCTAGACCCACTGAGCAGAATGGGGGATGGGGTGGGGGTGAGAGGGGACAGGAATACCGCAGCGAGGATGGATGGTTATGTTTGAGAACCAGATGGCTGGGGAGTGGGCCATTTTATATATTAGGGTTTGGGTTCAGAAGGAACCACAAATGATTAAAATGTTTGGGAACGTCCAGCTGGCCGAATTGGAAGGGCTTCCCAGGACTTCCTTGAGGATTTGCGACTAGAGGGTGGGACCAAGCTGACTGCTATGCCCAGGGAGGGGATCAAGGGGACCAGGAACAATGTGGTGATATCTCACGAATGGCCAGCAGGTGGCGCCCGGAACCGCGACTCCCTTCATAGTAACCCTGGCAACCAAGGATGTTGCAGACGCTAGGAATTGAGGCTGGCAGATCCTGGGTACCGCGGCGGCGTCCCACTAGCACCTATTCCTCTAAAATGACAGGGACGTGGGGAGAGGCAAGAGTGGTGGTGGTTCTGATGCTTTGAGATGTTCATGATGTCTCACAGATTGTCCGTGTTTTCTCAGCTTTGGGCCTGGGTTTTAAGGATGAAAATTCCATGTACACCTACCTCTGCCTTTGTGGGGATGTGGGGACTGGTTCTAGGATGGTGGCCTCCCTCACCACCCTCTCCACTCCCTGCCTCCGGACAAGGCACTTTTGGTGATCTGTGTTCTGCCTCTCTGCCCCAGTTGCCCCAGGCCCATCTTTGATTACAAGCCAATGCGCCCCACTAGGCCCCCAGGAATTGAGCCATCCACCCCCTCTTGGCAAGAAAAGACCGGGTGAGGAGGAGAAAGACCATTTATTTCTCCACCCACAGTGGGACTGGTAGGTTTTCAAAAGAGCTATCGCTGGCGTCCCTTTAAATCTCGGCTGACTTCCACCTTGGCAGCCAATGAACAGAGGCGGAGCTGGTGAGTTGCCTGGGCAACAGGCCCCTGGTTGGCCGGAGACTCTCAGCCATCACACTGCCCACTCCCAAGGAAAGAGGAGTCGACTCTTTGCTGTCTGCTCTGCTTTTTAAGCACACTGGTCTGAGACCTACTCTGCTTCTGAAGCCTGAGGCTCCAGCCTTTGGATCTGGGAGTCGGGAATGATTTCGTGGAGAGGATGAGATAGGGAGGGGACAGTGCCTTTATCTGGGACAGATGTACAGCTGAGGGGGGTGGGGTGCGGGGAGAAAGGCGGTCAGGTCTCAGAAGGATGCCGAGACACAAGCACAAAAGAAGATACCTCTAGTCCACCCCACCCCACCCTCTGGCTTATCCCTCTGCAACACAGCTCAGTAATCTGCCCATCAATGGTTGGCAGAGATGGGTGATGATGATCGCGTGGGTGCAGCATGGAAGGGGGGGCTATTTGGCTTCCTTGGCCCCTCCCCCAGAGGCCCCAGCAGGTCCTAAAGCTTGCCCTGAACGCTGTTTGCAGACAAGCGTGTACAGATGCGATAGGCAGAGATGAGCCCCCACCGTGGTACCACGGGGCCTTCCCATCTCTTCTCCCCCAGCGTGGGGGCAAGTCGAGGCACGTGTGTGTGCGTGCATGTGTTCAACAGGACACGTGTGTTGTGTGTGAGAGGGAGGGGCTCTGTCTCTTTTGGTAGGGAGGTCGCTGCGGTTTCCAGAACTCTCGCTGCAGCCCTCTCAGCTGGCGGTGGTGGGTCGGAGGGGGCTGGGCTCAGGTCCACCGCAACAGCCAAACTGCCACCAGCCAAACGCCCTGGGATGCGCCCCCAGTCCTGGGCCCGGGCCTCCAGGATTCTCTCGTTCAAGCCTTCCGCGCTGGCGGAGGGGTGCCTGTGCCGGGCCAGGGACAAAGCAGGTGGGCAAGCGGGCAGCCTTGGACCTCAGGCCTTGGCCGGAGCCTCAGACACGCCCTGGGCGGTGAGCTCCACCAGCACGTTGTCTAGGTAGCTGGCGTCCGGGTAGCCGTGGCCCGTGAGGTTGGAGCCGAACTCGGTCTTGTGGTGGATCTCGTTCCACACCACGGTGTCCGACTCGCCCGTGGTATTGGACGTTCCGATGGTGAAGATGAGCCTGCGCTCCCAGGCGGTGATCAGCAGCCGCAACACCTGGAGTGGGGGAGAGGGGGCGGGGTCACGCGCAGCCCCGCCCCTGCAGCCTGAGCCCCGCCTCCACCCTGCAACCCACTGGATGGCCCGGGATCCGCCACCCACTAAACCGAGCCCAGACAGCACATTGGCTAAGGCTGGGCTGTCGATTGGCAGCAATTCTGGTTTCATGGAGAAAAGGCCTAATGCATGTCGGAAACTCGAGGGGGCAGTTCTATTCCGACCTCTAAAAAGTCCAAACCAACCCAAATCCCGGCCATTGAGCCGTTTCCGACTCACAGCGCCCCTCCAGGGCAAGAGTAGAACTGTTTCCGAGGCTGTCAATCCTAGTCCTCTCCCAGCGGCCCAGCGGCTGCGGGTGTGAACAGGGGCCCTTGCCGTTTGCTGCCCAACGCGATACCCGCCGCGCCACCAGGGCTCCTCTCTGTCCTCTGGGGTGTCCACTGGGTGCTGGGGTAGAACTGCCCCCTCCATTGGCTTCTCAGCGTTGTTATTTGGGAAAGTAGACCACCAGGCCTCACCGACAAGGCACTTCCGAGTGGACTGGAACCTCCAACCTGCCCATGAGCAGCGGGGTGTGTTTGCCATTTGCAACAAATAAGTAATGAAAACTTCTTCATGGAACTGCCCTGCCGGTCACTTCTTTCCCCTTTGGCTTTTCGGGCAAGACCTCCCCTCTGGCCTTTTTGGAAAAACGGCAAGTGAAGCGGACTGTCTTCAGCGGTGTTTTCCAAAGTGGGCGATCGTGCCCTGCTGGCGAGGAGGCTGGTGTCCCCATCCAGCGGGGCAGCAGAAGCAGATGC